TGCACCGCGCTTTACATATAATTTTATTTGCTCATGAGTTTCTTGTCAAGCGAAAATAAATCTAAAAAATAAGCGCGTTAGTAAATCAGTATGTATTGTATTGTAAATTTTAATGTGTCGGTAGTTTTCTTGAATTGTGATTTTTTCGAAATCAATATTGTGATAATAAAACTAAATAATGTGTGATTCAGTCCTTGAATATGTAAAATTAGTTAAAATATATAGCAGTCACGAAGAAACCTCATTTGTTGAATGCTAACAAAACAATTTGGAAATAAAATAAATAATAAATAAATGATAATAGATTATGATAATAGGAGTTTTATAAATGAAATGAAAAATTATTTCGTACATGAAACAAAAGATGATGACTGAATTGAGGCTAAAGCACTATTATTGAGGTTCAATAATAACTAACGAATGATAATATAATATCAAATTGCGATTCTAATGGAACCAGAACAATTAAATATTTCTGGAAGTGAAATCAAATAGTAAGCCATATGATTAATACTTACTATAATGATTTATTAATTCCAATATGAGAGACGATATTAATATGGAAGAAAGAAAATGATGCATAGTTTTGCTTCTACGTGAAATGACATGAGCATAAAACATGTCATGGAAAGAATCAAGATAGATTCTGACAAATGCATAGCCCGAGAATTTAGTCTATAATACACAATATGCACAATATTGATTTCGATAATAACCTTGGCTGAAGATCATTAGAATTGTTTTGGTCTATTTGTTCAAAAGTCACGCATGACAATGAAAAGGGAAACTTAATTTGTAATGATCATTGTGATGCAATTTGCAATGATTTGATGGCTTTAATGTGCCAAACTATTTAAAACATCTATTTCGCATCCAATCCAGTCAGATATTCATGTCTTTATCTTTATGATTGTGAACTACAAGTAGTTTTCGAGTGAATAGAAAAAAACATCCTGGATTATGATATTAGCCAGACATCAAATTTGAGGTGGATGCATATTATGCATTGTACCTCATATGACAACAGATTTTATTTCATTTTGGATCTATTTGGCCACTAGATTATTTTCTTTCGTAGATCAATACCATATGTTAAATAAAATCATACCCGCATAAGGAATTTTGACACATTCAATAATTTTGAGATATGGAAAAGGAAAAGGTTACATCACAATAAATAGTATTAAATTGAATTGAATTGAATTAAATTGATCACAATAAATAGCTTTGAATTGAAAAGCTTTTGGCTTTTTATCACCATATATAATCAATCAGAAAGGCTTTTTTGAAGAAGTTTTAATTTATACGGATTTCTTAACCATGAATCAGATCAAATACTATAATTTATTGACAAACGAAAATATTTCAATACTATTGACAAACGAAGATATTTCAACATAAATTATTTAAAGTCATGAGGATTGATTTGTATAAGTCAATTGTGATTGTAAAATCTTTGGACCTTTCCTAGACTTAACTGAACTCGGGCAAAAGATCTTCCCAATCTTTACCAAATCATTTATGTGTATAATATTAATATCACCAAATTTGTTAAATTGATATATGAAGGAAATTAAAATATATCATGTAGTCTGGATATTATATAAAGAAAAGCTAATATAGAATAAAATCGATTCGAAACACTCGAAATCGATATTAAAAATTCGTATTGATTGTTGCAAATATCAAGAAATTCTTGAAGAATAATTAATTTTTAATGCGATAAATTATATTTAACTAATTTTAAATATTTAATGGTCAACACATGTAACTTGTGGGATTAATTTATATGATACAATAATATTTTCTTTGTTTTTCAACAACACTTACAATTGGAAAACTATGAACACTATATATTTTTACAATACATACATATGCTTCAATGCGGTAACTTTAAAATGAATGTAAAATTACAAAAATCAATTCAATAATATTATAATTATGGCTACTAATAGCACATAATATCGCTATAATGATAAAAGTAAAACATGTTTCTTATAATTTTACTTTCACATTTTGTCTATTTGCTACTATATTAAATCTATGTACTCTATTTAACGTCGCATAATATTTATTTTTGACCATACAAGATACTGCACAAATTTGTAATTGGTTAAGTTTCTATTTCTATATTAAAAACGAAAGTACTTAATCTATAATAATTTTTCTTCAATGTGTGTAGCTCAAATTTTAGATTTATATTTGATCTAATTATGCTTTTTATGTCGTTGCTTGTGCCGTGTAAAATCTAGTCAAATATTTTATTTCTTATATCTATACAATTTATTCATTTTGGAAAATGGAATGTCTTTCACATGTATGCGCACCACTTTTCTTTCAATTTCATGTGACTTGGCTTCTGGCTTCAATGTCTTTACGAGCTATTATTCATTTTTATAAGCTAATTACTAAAATAACTTTAGTTGAGTATTATCAACAGCTGTTTAATTATTTTCATGTTTTATAAAAAAAACATTGACTGTATTTATTAAAATATATTTGAATATGTCTTAGAATTGCAATTTCAAGTATTGGTTTAAATCATCTTCAGTGCTACATTTAAAACAATTGCAAGGTAAAAATAATACGTTTCTGAAACAATTATGATAATCAATGTTAAACGTAATATGGTAAATAACTGGAATAGAGTTATAACGAATGATTCCATGCTAAATTTGAAACTATCACTGTATTTTTAATCCTGTATAATTTTAATCACCGCAAACTACTATTGAACCAAATTTCATTAAAAATTCCTCTATCAGATTATATACTAAACTTATAAACTTATTAACGTCTTGGTCAGGAGATCATATCGCCGTGTTTGGAGACATTCCGGGCAAAGAAGGAGCATAAATTATAATTTTATTTTAGGATCGGTAAAGCATAAAAAATGTAGTTTGTGGTGAGTCAAAACTATGCCAAGTTTGTTTAATTTATTGGGGTAGATTTTGAATTTTCTGACAGAGAATAAAGAAACTTAAGCCACCAGCGTTAAGCGGGAAACGATTCTGGAATTTATCAGAGGTAGCGAGAAACAAAACTTCTGGAAATAAAATGAAGGCCTTGTTTGGTGAAATCAGTTCTGTTAACGTACCTATTGATATCAAAGATCCTAACATTATTGAATTTATCACGAACCATTCTAGAATTCAGAGCATGATTGCCATATCGATAAGGAATTCTAACAATACAAATTCTTGTTTTGCCACGGGATAATGGGCTATCTATAATGCGTTTCGAATAGCATGATTAGATTTCGTCCTGTCATTCGTCCCAGCCAAAACAACAGCACGATCACGAGCACTAAAATTCGCAACAAGATCCGTTGCTAGAGAACCCGGTGCTGGGTTCTCTAGCAACCGCGATAGAGAACCCAGCATCGGATTTGATTATTCCAAAAACACAAACACTCGGCAAAACAACGGTACAGTCCAAATTAAAGACATCATCAAAAACAGTTTTATCTAAAGGTATATCACCCACCATGTGGCTTCTGGTATTGACCACCTTGAGTAGATATGGCGCAGGTAAAAACTTGATATCGACAGGGTTTTTTTATAATTTTATTTGAACAGCAATCAGAACTAATGGGTTCTATGAGCTGTTGTGAGTAAGATCTTACAAACTACGTTTGTTTTATTACAGATGGCAACCCAAACAGTTGTCACATCTCTGCATGAAATATTTTTATTACAATCTCTGTAATAGGGCAAGTACGGTGCAACAATGCCGGTGAGGGCTATTTTCACTTGGAAACATATTGCTATCTATATTTCCAAGTGAAAATCGTTGTCAATGTTGCCTGACAACAGGCTGCTCGAAGTGGGAATCGAACCCGGGACCTCTGAAACAACTCCCGTCGCTCTTAACCGCTTACCTACGGGCGAGCCCGATATCGACGGGTAATAGTAATTTTCGGTTCAAGTGTGTTTACAACAAAGTAGAATTAAATGCGCCAGGTATATTATGTATCTTAGGAAGTAATAGACTAGCTTGGAATTATAATAGAAAAGAAATTGAAGAGACGTATTAACTCTTCAAAGGTCGAACACGAAACGGGATGCTCATGCGTTGAAATAAAAATGTAGGATCTATAAGAATTTTTTCATTGTGTGCTTTTATAATGCTACTCATACTTAAAAAAAAGTAGTACAATATCAGCGTATTTTAATTTAATATTATTAAATGTGTTTGCGCCGCACCTGTGTAGGTTGTCGGACCTGTAAAAGGTTTGTTTTTCTACTTGGACAACACGTTTCAAATTTAGGCAATCGGGCAATTCTGACTCATAAAAAAGGCCGATGCAGGCAATAGTTTTACCATTCAAATTTATTCATTCGGTTCCTTTCATTCGTTCAGGTACTTTCAGTTCCCTTCAGTGTTCGAGTCGTTTCATTCCGTGCCTCTCATTCGTTCAAGTACTTTCAGTTCCTTATCAATGTTCGAGTCTATTCTTTCCGTGGTTTTCATTCATTTCGGTTTAATTCATTCAATCAGTACATTCAGTTCCTTTCAGTGTTTGTTATCAGTTCAGTATTATCAGTGGATTAAGTTTCTATTGTGTGTCAAGTCGGCCAGTTGTTTTTGTTTTGTTATCAGTGTGTTCGAATTCCCTTTCAACATTTCCAACCGACTACGCTGATGTTTCCAGATCCAACCAAATAGCTGCCGCGGCTTGGACTTCCAAACAGATAACATTTTTTCATGCAATATTAATTAGTGTTCATTTTTGTTTTTCATTTATATAAAATTTATATAGAATATATTTTAGTTTATTATTAATTACGGATTAAGAAAAAACTTTATTTTTAATTTATATCTGTTTTCCAATTAGTTTTTGTTTTCTGCATACATTTAATTTTTTTTTATTATTCCTCGGAGTATAAAATACTTCGAAAGGGGTTGAGAAACCCCCCAACATCAACATTTGGTCCTTCGAGCCGGATCCTAATTATTATTAGGATTAATTGGGTGTATACAGAAAACAAAAATATATAATGGGGCCTAAAATCGATATTGGTGCAGAAATTGTACGTCTAACCGCCAAAAGAGAGACGTACTTCTCAATTGTGCAAGAAACGTACGATCTATCACAACAGATTGATGTACCATCAAACAAGACACAATTTCTCGAAAATTTATACATTTCTGAAAATGCTCGTGAACAATTCATTCAATTGTGTGATGAAATAAACAAATTAAAATATTTAGATAATCCTAGTTTTATTCCGGAATATTCTGCAATAAAGGCCCTTGAAACGATGTACGCCAAAATAAAACACGCTGAGAAATTATTAGAGAATAAAAATGTGCATAGTTCTTCAATTAAAGACGTTGTACCCAAACAACATTTACCGTCCATTGAAGTACCTAAATTCTCAGGTGATATTCAACAATGGCCATTGTTCTATGAAACATTTAATTCACTAATTCATGAAAATACCGAGTTAGATAATGTATCAAAATTCCATTTTTTAAAAGGAGCGTTACAGGGTCCGGTATTAAAAATATTTCATTCGATACTACCGACCGCAAATAATTATCAAATTCTTTGGGAAGCGCTCATCAAAAAATACCAAAATAAACGCTACTTAGCCACAAATTATTTCAAGCAACTATTATCATTCAAAACCATTTCATCTGGACAAATAAATTCATTCCTTGAAAAATTCGATACCGCGGTGCAAGCGCTCTCCCAATTGAATATTCCCGACGCCTATGATTTCCTTATTACGTCACTGGCATTCTCGAAACTCGATCCGTTGTTACAAGAAAAATTCGAGCATTTTTATCAAGGTGAGTTTCCCAAATATCAAGACCTCCTGCATTTTCTTCAAAAATCACAACAGGCAAAAAATCAAGTATATGGTATGAGCAACAATTTCACTAATGACAAACCCAATTACAAAAACACAAAAATTAGCCGGTCATTTTTGTTAAAAAATAAATATGATAACCATTGCTTTGTGTGTCGGAAACAACACAGAGTGTTTACTTGTTCGAAATTTCTTTCATTGAATATACCTGATCGGCGATCCCTTATTCCAAAATTAAACTTATGCGACAATTGTTTGGGACATAAGATAACGACTACATGTCGATCGAATAAAACCTGTTTATTATGTAACGAACGACATCACTCGCTATTGCATACTGGCAGCAATTTTGCGAGTACGGATCAAAATAATCTTTCGAATTCCAAATCAAATAGTACGGTTTTATGCGCATTTAATCAAAACAAAATCGCACATCATATTACCATATTGCCGACAGCAGTAGTAAAAGTTACTACTAGAAAAGAAAACATTTTATTACGTACAATTATTGATTCGGGAAGCGATAGAAATTTTGTGTCATTAAATTGGTGCAAAAAGGCTGATTTACAAATTCTTCCAATATCAACCCAAGTGATCGGGTTAGGCAATTCGTCACATAAAGTTATTGGATTAGTTAATTTCACTTTGAAATCTTTAATCGATTCTTATCAGTTATCGGTCTGTGCATACGTAATACACGAGATAGTGGGAAAGCAACCACAAATTACCATTCCGATTTCATCCATCAAAACATTTCTGAATTATCCTTTAGCGGATCCTAACTTTCATACACCCCAGGAGGTCGACGGAATTTTGGGTTGCGATGTTTTTGGCGAAATTCTTGGCACTAATCAGGTTAAAAATGATAAAGGATTACCTGTGGCCCTAGAAACCCGGTTGGGTTATCTAATATTAGGTTCCATTCCTGATTTATATGAAAATACCGGCACTTCTACTAATTTATGTAATGTTTCAGATTCAGATTTTCATTTACAAATGAATAAATTCTTACAATTAGAAGACATTCCCGAAATAATCCCCTCTTCTAACGATGATTTATGCGAAAATCATTTTACTACAACTACTACGCGATCTCCAGATGGACGATATGTAGTAGCGCTGCCTTTTAAAAGTGAAGGCAGGAATTTATACAAATCATTTCATTTAGCCTTAAAGCGATACCAAATGCTTGAAAATAAATTTTTGAAAAATCCCGAATTTCATAAAAAATATGCCGCCGTTATAGAAGATTACCTGACTCAAAACCAATTATCCTTTGTCGATTATTGTCCGGTAGATCAGGAAGTCGATGATTTTATTAAAATAAAAAATGGATATTATATTCCTCATTTCGCAGTCGAAAAAGAAAGTTCCTCTACGCCTTTACGCGTTGTGTTTGATGCATCTGCGAAAAATTCAGAATTCACTTCCTTGAACGAAATTTTGCATGTTGGTCCTAATTTACAAACCGACATTTGTTCAATCCTTCTAAATTTTCGTTTCGGGCCTATAGCATTAACAGCTGATATCAAACAAATGTATCGTAATATTTGGGTTCGTAAACAAGATAGAAAATATCAAGAAATCTTATGGAGACCGTTTCCCGATGCACCCATTGGCATCTATGAATTAAATACTGTAACTTTTGGTCTATCGTCATCTCCCTTTCAAGCTATCAGAACCATCAAACAACTTTCCCGAGACGAATGTTCCAAATATTCTCAATCTATTTCTAGAATTCTTGAGAACGATGTCTATATTGATGATGTGGTTACAAGTATCGACTCCTTGGATAGCGCTAAAACCATTTGCGAAGGTTTGCAGACTGTATTATCGTCTGGTGGTTTTGAATTAAAAAAGTGGGAATCTAATAATTCTAATCTGCGTAAACTTTTTCCTGATTCTGATGTACAAAATAAACATTTCTCTAAATCGGATTTTCAAATGGAATCTTCTACAAAGGTATTGGGATTAAAATGGGATCCCTTATCAGATAATTTTTCAATCGAAATAAAGCTTACGTGGAGAAAATGGACAAAGAGACAACTTCTTTCAGTAATAGCGCGAATCTGGGATCCTCTGGGTTTCCTAACTCCGATAGTTGTTAAGATAAAAATATTATTGAAAAAAATTTGGACATTAAAAATCGATTGGGATGAGGAATTACCATCATTTATTATTACATCATGGTTAGCCGTATATTCCGAATTAGAGCATCTTAATAACTATCAGATTCCGCGTTATCTCGAAACGTCAAAACAAAACAAATGTACATTATTTGGTTTCGCGGATAGCTCAGAGCAAGCGTATGGAGCGGTAGTTTATATTAAATCTCTTGGCAATCCGAATTTCTTATTGATTTCAAAATCACGAGTAACACCGATTAAAAACCAAACATTAGCCAGGCTTGAACTTTGTGCCTGTCATTTACTGTCAAAACTTCTGAATTTTATATTAACGAATAACCAACATAGTATAGATTTTGATTCCATTTACTGTTTTTCCGATTCTATGATTGTCCTTCACTGGTTAGCAGGACCGGCTACTCGTTGGAAAACATTTGTAGCCAATAGGGTAACAAAAATACGGGATCTCATTCCTAATGCACAATGGCTTCACATTCCTTCTAATCAAAATGCAGCCGATTGTGTTTCTCGAGGTCTTCGACCTAAGGATTTTATCCAACATAAGAATTGGTTGTTTGGGCCGGATTGGTTAAACGGTCCTATATCAACTTGGCCTGCAAAAACGGTTGAACCTTCCGGAGATATTGATCAAGAAAGAAAAGCTAACGTTCTATTAGTAAAGAGTGTCATACCATCGATCAATCCTTTATATGAATTAACGCAAAAATTTTCTAATTGGTGCAAACTTGTAAGAATTTTCGCTTATATATTGAAGTTTTGTAAAATTATAACAAATCGAAACCGACTTTTGACTTCAGATTTGAAACAAGCCGAGGTAATTATTATTCGTTTAGTCCAAGAACATCATTTTCCCGAAGAATTCAAACTATTAACGAACGGAAAGTCTTGTTCGAAGAAGTTTTGCCGACTAAATTTGGTTTTGGATTCTAATAATTGTTTACGCGTTAAAGGTAGATTAGGATTAACAACTAATAACAATCCATTTCTTTTGCCAAAAAAAGACCAAGTAGTAAATTGTCTTATAGATTACTACCATATTAATAATTTACATACTGGATCAAACTTAGTATTATCTTTATTGAGGCAAAAATATTGGATCTTGTCGGCTCGTGCAATAATTCGTAATCGTCTTCACAAGTGTATAACTTGTTTTCGACAGAATCCGAAACCCATTTTTCCATTCATGGGCGACTTACCAGTACCGCGCATAACAGCCAGTAGAGCTTTCCTAAACGTCGGCGTTGATTATGCAGGCCCCTTCAATATCTCCATGAGTCGTCACAGAGGCGCTCGAACCTACAAGGCTTATTCGAGCCGGATCTGAACCAGCGACCTATGGAAACCGACTTTTGACTTAGGAATGAGATCCCGATACCGAGATAACGCGGAATCTGATAGTTATTAAGATGCTCTAATTCGGAATATACGGCTAACCATGATGTAATAATAAATGATGGTAATTCCTCATCCCAATCGATTTTTAATGGGATCGAAGGACCAAATGTTGATGTTGGGGGCTTTCTCAACCCCTTTCGAAGTATTTTATACTCCGAGGAATAATAAAAAAAAATTAAATGTATGCAGAAAACAAAAACTAATTGGAAAACAAATATAAATTAAAAATAAAGTTTTTTCTTAATCCGTAATTAATAATAAACTAAAATATATTCTATATAAATTTTATATAAATGAAAAACAAAAATGAACACTAATTAATATTGCATGAAAAAATGTTATCTGTTTGGAAGTCCAAGCCGCGGCAGCTATTTGGTTGGATCTGGAAACATCAGCGTAGTCGGTTGGAAATGTTGAAAGGGAATTCGAACACACTGATAACAAAACAAAAACAACTGGCCGACTTGACACACAATAGAAACTTAATCCACTGATAATACTGAACTGATAACAAACACTGAAAGGAACTGAATGTACTGATTGAATGAATTAAACCGAAATGAATGAAAACCACGGAAAGAATAGACTCGAACACTGATAAGGAACTGAAAGTACTTGAACAAATGAGAGGCACGGAATGAAACGACTCGAACACTGAAGGGAACTGAAAGTACCTGAACGAATGAAAGGAACCGAATGAATAAATTTGAATGGTAAAACTATTGCCTGCATCGGCCTTTTTTATGAGTCAGAATTGCCCGATTGCCTAAATTTGAAACGTGTTGTCCAAGTAGAAAAACAAACCTTTTACAGGTCCGACAACCTACACAGGTGCGGCGCAAACATTTTCCCCCGACTAAAAGGTTAGCCTTTTATACTTCTGAAAATACTCGAAATTGGTACATAGTGAACCTCATGATTAGGAAGGATAGAATTGCCAAAATAAATTCAAACTTTCATTCAGAGTAGATCGGTTACGGAAGCCTGACCTCGCGCCAGGGTCCCGCTCTCGCAACCTACCACATTCACACAATCTAGATTGCGGAAGTTTTATTTTCGCGCCAGGGTCTAGATTTTTGGACATTTACAAGAATCTTCCAGAGACTATGAGGGATGTTCTCATCGCCCTGGAGATTGAAAATTTGGCAAAACTATATATAGAAGCAAATATATCATGAGATAGAAAAGTTTTTTTTTTTTGAAATGAATAATTCAGATATAAACTATTGAATAGGTAGGGGGCATAGTTTGACAACAGGCCGCTTGATTAGGGTATTTCCCGTTTTTACCAATGCTACTCGAACCACTCCATCGGAGCTCGGAAAAACCTCTTCAACTCTTCCCAACCCCCAATGGAGCGGACGCGCATTCTCTTGTTTTACAACTACCAAATCACCCTTTTTAATAGGATTAGTGACTATATTCCATTTCTGTCGGACCTGTAGCTCGGTTAGATATTCCACATTCCATCGCTTCCAGTAAGAAGCGACAATATGATCTAACAATTGTTTTCTTTTAGTCAAATTCAAGTTTTCATAGTCAACGGGCAAATCCGACAGAGGCTCTTGCATTAAAAAGTGCGCAGGCGTAAGAGGCTGAGGGTCCGACGGATCATTGCTCAGCCAACATAACGGTCTTGAATTCAGTAAGGCTTCGATTTGATTGAGGACTGTATTAAACTCTTCGTAGGATAAAATTTGCAACCCTATAACTTTAAACAAATGGGTCTTCACTGATTTAATATTCGCCTCCCATATACCTCCAAAATGTGGGGCAAACGGTGGATTAAATTTCCATTCAATGTCATGCAAAACCAATAATTCATTGAAACGCTTTTTATACTCTTCGGAATTTAGGAGAAGGAATAAGGAATCAAGAGTATTTTTGGCTCCTATAAAATTGGTTCCACAATCGGAGTAAATACATTTAATAGGACCACGCCGGGCTAGGAATCGTTTCAAGCAATCTAAAAATGTATCGCTTGTCAAATCTGAAGCTAATTCGAGATGTATCGCCTTAGTGGCTAAACAGATGAACAAGCATACATAAGCCTTGTAGGTTCGACCGCCTCTGTGACGACTCATGGAGATATTGAAGGGGCCTGCATAATCAACGCCGTTCAATGCTTGTTCATCTGTTTAGCCACTAAGGCGATACATCTCGAATTAGCTTCAGATTTAACAAGCGATACATTTTTAGATTGCTTGAAACGATTCCTAGCCCGGCGTGGTCCTATTAAATGTATTTACTCCGATTGTGGAACCAATTTTATAGGAGCCAAAAATACTCTTGATTCCTTATTCCTTCTCCTAAATTCCGAAGAGTATAAAAAGCGTTTCAATGAATTATTGGTTTTGCATGACATTGAATGGAAATTTAATCCACCGTTTGCCCCACATTTTGGAGGTATATGGGAGGCGAATATTAAATCAGTGAAGACCCATTTGTTTAAAGTTATAGGGTTGCAAATTTTATCCTACGAAGAGTTTAATACAGTCCTCAATCAAATCGAAGCCTTACTGAATTCAAGACCGTTATGTTGGCTGAGCAATGATCCGTCGGACCCTCAGCCTCTTACGCCTGCGCACTTTTTAATGCAAGAGCCTCTGTCGGATTTGCCCGTTGACTATGAAAACTTGAATTTGACTAAAAGAAAACAATTGTTAGATCATATTGTCGCTTCTTACTGGAAGCGATGGAATGTGGAATATCTAACCGAGCTACAGGTCCGACAGAAATGGAATATAGTCACTAATCCTATTAAAAAGGGTGATTTGGTAGTTGTAAAACAAGAGAATGCGCGTCCGCTCCATTGGGGGTTGGGAAGAGTTGAAGAGGTTTTTCCGGGCTCCGATGGAGTGGTTCGAGTAGCATTGGTAAAAACGGGAAATACCCTAATCAAGCGGCCTGTTGTCAAACTATGCCCCCTACCTATTCAATAGTTTATATCTGAATTATTCATTTCAAAAAAAAAAAAACTTTTCTATCTCATGATATATTTGCTTCTATATATAGTTTTGCCAAATTTTCAATCTCCAGGGCGATGAGAACATCCCTCATAGTCTCTGGAAGATTCTTGTAAATGTCCAAAAATCTAGACCCTGGCGCGAAAATAAAACTTCCGCAATCTAGATTGTGTGAATGTGGTAGGTTGCGAGAGCGGGACCCTGGCGCGAGGTCAGGCTTCCGTAACCGATCTACTCTGAATAAAAGTTTGAATTTATTTTGGCAATTCTATCCTTCCTAATCATGAGGTTCACTATGTACCAATTTCGAGTATTTTCAGAAGTATAAAAGGCTAACCTTTTAGTCGGGGGAAAATGTTTGCGCCGCACCTGTGTAGGTTGTCGGACCTGTAAAAGGTTTGTTTTTCTACTTGGACAACACGTTTCAAATTTAGGCAATCGGGCAATTCTGACTCATAAAAAAGGCCGATGCAGGCAATAGTTTTACCATTCAAATTTATTCATTCGGTTCCTTTCATTCGTTCAGGTACTTTCAGTTCCCTTCAGTGTTCGAGTCGTTTCATTCCGTGCCTCTCATTCGTTCAAGTACTTTCAGTTCCTTATCAGTGTTCGAGTCTATTCTTTCCGTGGTTTTCATTCATTTCGGTTTAATTCATTCAATCAGTACATTCAGTTCCTTTCAGTGTTTGTTATCAGTTCAGTATTATCAGTGGATTAAGTTTCTATTGTGTGTCAAGTCGGCCAGTTGTTTTTGTTTTGTTATCAGTGTGTTCGAATTCCCTTTCAACATTTCCAACCGACTACGCTGATGTTTCCAGATCCAACCAAATAGCTGCCGCGGCTTGGACTTCCAAACAGATAACATTTTTTCATGCAATATTAATTAGTGTTCATTTTTGTTTTTCATTTATATAAAATTTATATAGAATATATTTTAGTTTATTATTAATTACGGATTAAGAAAAAACGTTATTTTTAATTTATATTTGTTTTCCAATTAGTTTTTGTTTTCTGCATACATTTAATTTTTTTTTATTATTCCTCGGAGTATAAAATACTTCGAAAGGGGTTGAGAAACCCCCCAACATCAACAAAATGTTTGGCTATTAATTTTGTATACAGAAGCAAGTTCTTCACGAGCATTATAACAATTAATTGTATTATTGTCGATCACTCAGCTAGCTATGGGCATAATTTTTTGAATTACAGGAAAAGGATCATCTAATAAAATCACTCTATTAATTTTACACAAAAATCCCACTTTACACGAGATTTGCTTGCATCCACGTGCTGGTCTGTTGTATCTATTTCAACACGAGATTTTCCAATCCTTCGCACACCGTTTTTATTGTATGCATGCCAAACACCTATTTACTGACACTTTCTTGTGTACTTCTTCCCTGAGTAAGACCTCCATCTGTCTTCATTATAGACTTCATCATTGATTGCTTAATCACCATATCCGTCAAAGTTCCACAATTAAATTTATTAGAACGCCTGACCGTGAAAAATCTGTTTAGAATTTTGTGAACACTGGGATTTAGAGAGTTGTTCAATTGAATCATATATTGTAGATACAACTGCGCAGCTTTAGAGTAATGAAAATGTCCTGACGCGTGAAGATAAGGAAGCATTTCTCTAACATAATTCAAATGAGCTCGCCTATCTCGACATACGCCGTTTTACATCATCAGTATATGCAGATCAGCCTGATGCATTGAACTATGATTGAACTATTATCCTGGTTGATAGGCAGATCGTTTTAATGGCTGTAGAATCTTCACACAATATTCTAAAATTGCCCACTCAGCAAAACGCAGGTTTGGCAAAGTAGAATCTATTATAGGCAAAGCTGCGCATAGCGCATCTTTAACCCTCAATAATTTTTTAAATATATCTTCTTAGTAATCTAAGTTGATTTGTTTTTGCAATTCTTGCAGAATACATGACGATTTCACACTATGTTTAAAATGTGCTACAATAGCTCTAGATTTTGGGATTGCGGTATTAAGTTCGCATTTTCTTTTGTAAATTCAATGTGTGTTCAACGCACGAGAATTTTTTTATTTAAAAATAAAATAATAACTTTCTTCAATTCGATGCATTATCAGTCACACAATAACTTTATCAAAGATTTGCATACAATTATTAAGAGCAATATTTTGTGACATATGTTTTTCTCCGAGTTCTGTTGTTGCTATAACTAATGAATTTAATTTTTAGAACAAAATGACTAGTTGCTAATAAAAGAAAACTTTTCTGGCTATTGCTGCTCCATACATCAGTCTTTCTTATCGTGATTTTCACCACAAATTCTAAATTTTTAGCGCAGTATACCATGCTCATGTACGGCGTTATTGGTTTTTTACGATTTTTTATATTGCTTAATTAAAAATATGACTAACTGCTTATGTCGTGTAAATTATTTTGATATATATTCGTTAGCGAAAAAATTAACTTTCGAATAAATTATGAAGAGATTTGAACACTATCGTTTGCGCTTGTTACAATTTCATCTATTGTAACATCATTATTGTGGGCTATTTTACTTATTTGATTGGAGGGAACAAATATGGCAACATATTTATTATCAACATGTTTTTTCAATACTTAAAAGGAATTGTAATAAATTCTATTAATAGAAAACGTTCATAAATTTATTAAACAAAACAAGAAAAGAACTATATAACTTATAATATACTTTATAATGCTACAAATCTAATGGTAAATCATTTAATCAATATTTTTTAACTTACAAAACGTTGGTCTAATTGTTAATTTGGACCTAATTTTAAATCTACAACTTTTTTGGCAACAAAAAGTATAAAGCAACTCAGTTTACCTCAAACTAATTGAAATTTTAAATTTTGTATTTATCATCTACTTATACTACTAAGATTTCGATCATTTCGAAAATACTGGTGGTATATAAATCAAATACATTACGATATAACTAGATATATTCATTTCGTATAAGATTTCCAAAAATACTCACAAGTGAAAATAAAGCAAATCCTGCGTGTTAAGGGAGCACGGAAATTCGGCATTCTTACCTGCCTACGAAATCAACTTGAAAACCTTAAATTCAATACAGGAAATAAATAAGTACAAATGCCCTTTATCTCCTGTAAACAGGACTGCATCAGGTTTGCACAGTGGCATACCAGGGATTTTTTTATTATAAGTCAATCAAATAGTGGTTTTTATAAATTAATACACATAAATAAATGATTAAGTTATTTATCAATATTAATTAATACACAGAGTAAATTGGTTTGAATGCACTCATTAATATATTTATATAATATATACTCTTATAGCTTTCTCGAAAATGTGTAAAATGCTCTCAAAATTATATCACTTGTAATTTCTTGTTCTATTGACAATATTGCAAGATTTTTTAGGCTCAATTGACTCATTGTAGAACAAAGATGGATTTTCTTATAGCTTATACTAGCCGGTATTTCGGATTCAATCGATAAGATAGATAATGCAGTTAGTTTTTCTGGGCTCATCGTGCTTCTCAAATATGTTTTAATCAATTTTAACTTTGAGAAACTTCTCTCAGTGGAAGCTGTGCTAACTGGAACAGTGTTCATAATTCTAATTGCGATATAAGCATTTGGGTATATATCTTCCAAATTTTTTTTTATGTACTGAAAGGATTGTTTTGCGTTTTTATAGACTCTGTCAAATTCATTTTCTTTACAATAGTTGCATTTCTACATAAAATTCGAATAGCTGTATGTCATTGTGTCGTTTTGTCGAAGTAATGTTCCCAAATTATTACAATATTTGAGAAAGTCTTTTTTGATATAGTATTATTTGATATAAATAAAATCATATTGCTCATAATATTGATTGAGTGCTTTTAATCGACATTCAGTGTCGACTATAATCGCATCGATCATTACATTGAAAAAATTAACTCTGTGCTGCTTTTCTCGAATCGAATTCAAAGCTTATGTGCCATAATTTTCTATCAGAGTATCTGAGCATACTATTCTCATTGCAGAGTGAAAATATAAAAAATGTTTGTATAGAGTTGTGGGCAGATAAAATTATTAGTACTATATGCCCGATATATAGCATAAAAATCTATATTCTGTTTCCTTTCCATTTTTCAAGGTCTTTTTAATCCACTAGGTTTTCTCTGAAATTTACATGGATCTGTTTTTTGATATATCTTAAAGACATTGATATTTATGAGATATAAATGCATGGCTTAAAGCACATCATTAACTCTTATGTTTTACCCACGTATTTATATATCTTTTCATTACTTTCAGTCATACCATATGCATGTATTCCAAGGGATATCAGGAATAATACTTAGGCTTAACGGCATGTGCTTTTAAGAGTGGTGAGATATTAGAATGATGTTTTGTATTTGTGTATTTCATAAATGAATGTTCCTAGTTAGGCATTCAAAGAAGTGTATATTAGTTTTCTGTTAAAGTACACTTCTTTTCAGAACACCGTTCACAACCATAATAACCAGTATGGCCTATGGATGCATTTAATAGAAGCTCTTGCTGGAGCATCGCAACAAATTTTGTTAATTTTGTTAATAGTGAAAAACTTACTTTAGTAATCAATTTTAATAGTAAAAAACTTATTTCTGTATCATGTATAAATTGTGATAAATAAGTTTCAACATCCTTATGGTTCTCACTACCACCATAGAAAATGCCTATTATTAGAAAAGGATTTATATCACTATCTTTAAAAAATATGGCTCTTAATATATAGGCCAAAACTGGTGGAAGTACATTTTATGTAATGGAAGATCATCAATATTAATCATTAACTCTATTAGATTATTTATAATAGTATCATTATGCATTGTTCCCAGAACATTGATAATATTTTTCAATGCCAAAATGTACGTATTGTCCCTTACTTTCACG